CTTCCCGTTCGATTTCGCTTTTTCTCAGGCCGGAGCTTAGAATTCTCGCCGCTCGAATTCGATAATGAAGACGATCTTTGGGCTGAATACACACAAACCAACATTCCATGTGTTATAATTAAAGAGAGATAAAACCCTTACCGTACTCTTACTAAGCCTATAGGCTAGAATTTTTGCCTGATCCTCCACCGACAGTGATGGGTAGGTTCGGGCTACATCACGGGACAACGATCGCAGAAGTTCTGGAGGAGGAGTTGGAAGTTCTCCGACGAATCTCTGGAATAAGTCAAACGCACTCCTCTAGCGCACGCACAGACTACTGTTCGCCATGAAGCCATAAATGGCCAGATTCCGTAGGAAGTGCTGAAAAGCAGACGAAACAGACCCCATCCGGTTGAAGACTCATGTGACTTGCATAGCGTTTGATGTTAGTCTCTAGATTTTCTTCCGGTTTGTTCTTATCGGCCAGTTCCAACTCGTCTTCCAAATTTGCCTTTTTGCCTTTCCAGATCTGAAAAGAGAAAACCGACAGTGCTCATCACGCCATGGTCCCTTTTCATTTAGGCTAAAAAAGGCTTTGAGCCGGAATCATTAGGACACTGAGTCAAGTGGGCCTCGGCTGGGAATTCCCGGTTGTGCCCAGCTGACACACTGGATAATGCGACCAGGAGCCATCGGGAGATCCGTTGCGGCCATGCGGCGAAATCAACATTGCAAGTGAAGTTGAGAGTTAATTTTCGCAGCGAACTCGTTTGATTCAACGTGCTAGCGCTACAGTATGTGTAGTTACAGCATAGCTAGGAAATAATCCACTACTTTTCGTGCGTCGCAAAAAAGGCATCTCCCGACACCGCTCCAATTAGAGCAGCCTATAGGAAAACTGATAGAGCTGTTCCTTCATATTTTCAGATTCGCTTATTTGGTCTAAAAGTGTTCTGGGCGCAGTTTGGCTCGGGTGGGGGAGACACCGAATAGTACTAAGGCTAATCTTTTATCAGTCACGTTGGAGGTGATATTTATCAAAATGGCTCACTCGTATCATTGCAACTTCACAAGGTCAATAGTCCCTCCACAGACAGGGTACAGCACCGTGATGTGTGATGTGGTATTATAGGAAGACCCCCTGCCCGACAAGCCCTGCCTCCATTTCACACATTTCCAGTTTTTCCCTCGAAGGTTTTCCGTCGAGGCGGGGAGAGGGGTATAGAGTCATCACTGAAAAATCAAGGCGGAAAAAGGTCAACAACCGGAGAACATTTTTCTCAGCGCAGCAGTTTTCTCTCAACTCACACACGACCGCCTCTCCTTCTCTCACATGGTAATAGTACCCCAGCGGGAAAGTGAGACCCCCGTTTTTTACACGATCTGTACTCTGTCCACAGAGGAGAGCTGTTATCCAACATGATAGCTAACAAAATGCATCAGCGAAGGTGGAGATGGCCTTCAAGTCGAACACACTGCCTTATTTTGCGCTCATTTCCACCTTGGCTGTGCTGAGCACTGCCCGCGCTTAAACCTTAGACATTTCGCCACAATGCCAGCTATGGGTAATTTCGATTTTTTACGACTTCCTAACTCCCTTTTTGATGCACGGCCCAATCGAAGTTCCTTTAATCCAAGTTCATGGGGACAAGGCGAGACAGGGGATTGAGTTCGAGGCTTGAACGCTGCCACCCTTTTCTAGTTTCTACCATTACCGAAAAATTTCCCGAGTAAGGCCCTTGCTGAAACCCTGCACTGAAAACTTGCCTTGATTGAACCTTCGCCTTATCAGCACTGCACGGCTTTTCACACCTACTGTTCAAGGCGGGAAGAATGAAGAGCGATAGGGTTATGGGTTACAACACACGGTTCACATATTAGCACAAAGTTTTGTTCAGCAAGCTCCAGGCACTTCCTGCAGTGCACTCCTACTCCAACTCCCACTGAAGGGCTTTTACGTGGTGAGTTTTGGGTCTATATTACCTCAAAAGTAGAGAGTATTCTTTACAGTAACAATACCTCCACATCAGCACAGTAAGCGACGATGAACAAGTATTATGAAGAATGCAAGTGTAACGGCGGCTTCCCAAACTTCCACGACGTCCGGTGATATCAAAATGAGAATCTGAAAGCGAGTTCTTCAAAGGTTGCCCGGCTACGGAAGGGATGTCCAACAAACGGATCAAAACTGACCACCAACATCCAGATGTAGGCAAATGTACCGAAAAACGCCGTGACGATGAACACTTTGAACATTTGGATGCGTTTCACACCAGGAGAAGCGACGGCCATCACACAGATGGCCGATATGCAGAACAGGTTGAATGCTGCCGAGCCTTCAAATTCAACACATTAGCAATCCTGGCCAATATAAAATCATGGGGCATGAATACTTCTACGGGTACTGTGGAGTAGACGTTTTTGCACCAGAAGTATATGTTCGTGCTGCATCGTTTTTCAGTAAGGGAGACTGTGAAGACGGAATCTGGGGGCGGGGCCACTGTAAGAGGGAGGTGTTACTGGAGCAGCTCCGCCCCTAGCGCCTTTACCTTACGACTTTCCACTGAGAAAATGGTACAAGATCGTCCATGGTGGACCACCCTACCCTTCCAACCTAATGTTTTACATTTTCATGGGTCGTCGCAGACCCTTTTCTCCCAGAGACACCAACCCTATTATTACGGTTATTAGAGCCACTCACGATTCCAACAGTTTTCAAGGAAAGCACTAATTAAAGAAGAATGGGGCGCATTTCGGCGACGGGGGAACATTTTGCTTTCCATCGATGTGTCGACCCATCTAGACAGCCTTTTCTCGAGTTGACACGTTTTACCATGGTGGCTAGACGAGCTTGCTCCAGCTTCACAAGAGTTCACAAGTTTTACCAGAGTGAGACTTGTAAACCGGAAGTAGTGAAGCAGTGAAAGTGCAAAATGCCCCCCCCCCTCTCGTCGCCGAACTGCGCCTGTAAATGGCAATGAATTAGAAGTGATACCTACCAACAATTGTTCCGGGGCCGAGTTCGCCTGAACGAAAACCGTGTCCCACGATTTCAATGATAGACAGAAGAATCTCTGGCGCACTGCTTCCAAGTGCCTAGAAAACGAGAGATTCAGCGGTTACTTATATCACCTGATTTTTTTGACTTTCCCCCATT